CCCTGCCGGCTCCTGGGAGCTGGACTGAATGCACCGGGGATGCAATGAATTTGCCAAAGCCGCTAATAAAGTTTTATGGGCCTGCTCTGGTTACTGACCTGTAACGTATTACCCAGTTTGATTACACGGGAATTTACTGGACGGGTTTTGAAACCTAACCCTGTCACCAACCGCAAAGGATGAATTTTCCACATGAGCCTTTCGCTCGGAACCGGCCAAGATTTGTCAAATCGGCTACATCTGAAGACTTGGGGGCAGCGTCTTGCTGCGGAGAGGACCCCGCCACGCACTGCACTGTCACTTCAAAAACAGGATAGCCCAGGGGTGCTACCGTTCTCTGGACATGAGACATTTCAGCAAAGAGACTGAGTTCTTGGAGAAAGTAACGAAGGGCTTCCCGGCCTGATCCTGGGAGGCAGTGAGCTATCTCCGCTTCCCCCGAAAGGCAGGAGGAGTTGGGTTGGCCTTGCCTCGTTTTGCCAGAGGGCCTCTCGGGGCATGGGAGAAAGAGGCACGATGCCCAACATCTGTTCCTTCCCAGAACACCGTAAACAGTGATGTCACCGCTCCAAAGCTGAAGGCGCAGTTCTGGGCCAAAGGCCCGGCTATTCCACACAGCTGAGAGCAGGAAGCAACACGGGGTGGGGGGGGGGGGGGGGAGCCTGATTCAGGGGTGGTCACGAATCAAAATGGCCCAAGTGTGATTTAAAGCAACCCTTGGCCCCTCTGCCAACCAGGGATTAGATGGATCGCCACGCAGGCCTCCCCGGCCGCTCCTGCCACGCTCCTTGCTCCCAACAGAGCCCAGAGGGAGTTCACTCTCTGCCACCCAAGTCTCTCCTCTGTTGGGGAATCCCCAGCCTGATCCGTGTCAAGGCTTAAGCAAAGCTGGGGGACTTGGGGCGAGATTGAGTTGGTGGGTGAATGTGCTGGGAGGAGGCGGGGCTTCTCTGGGCACTCGTAATCCAGCCTGCCTGCTGTCGGGCTGAGCTGCACAGGGCTGGGGGCTCAGGTTTTGCACTCACGCACGATTTACTATGGTAGAACTTTGGCTTAGGTTTTAAAAATAACCCACCAGCTTCCAGCGCACGGTGAGAAACCATGTTATTTGCTACCCCTTGCTTTCCACTGATACTGGCGCTAGCATCCCTGCTGCTTCTGTAAGGTCTCCTCCTTGCTGTGATCCACAGCAAACAACGACAAAAACACCAGCAGGGAGCTCTGCCATTGCCCCCCTCCCAAGCACATGGCACTAGAGTGAGGCCAAAACGCCTGGCTAGCTCCACACCCCACTGCTGGCTGCATTCAGCTAGACGTGGAGACTGAGACAAGCTTCCTGCCTTCCAGGGGTGGGCAGATGCATCCTCCACTGAGTGGTGACTTGTTGATTCCCCTGGTCCCCAGAGGGGCCCACAATTCAGGAACCAGGTGTTCAATTCAGAAGCACGACTTGCACACACCCCTGACCATAAGTGACTTGAAAATCTGATCCCCAGTGGAACTGACTGACAGTCCATACCAACCATGGGAGAATTTGAACCGGCAACCTACAGGTGAAATCCTCAATGATACTGGCGTTTACTCCTGCATGGAGACTCTCAGTCCTGCTTTTTACTGCAATTTTGGAAGCAAATCTAGTTAAATAACCACACGAAGTTTGGAGAGACCCATCCACACTTCGCCAAGGACCTCCGGACAGAAAAACCAAGGGCACGGAGCAAATATTGAAAACACAGAGCATGAAAGAGGAGGCAACGCTCATTTAATAAAAAAATACGCACTCTAACGTTACACTCTAATGGTGCTAATTGACTCTGATTATAAATACTCTGGGCTCCTACCACTCTCAGTGTTGCAATGAATAAATTATTTAGCATGGGAAAGCTGGGCATTGCTAATTATGTCTTAAATACACCGGATGAAATGCAAGCTTCCAGCTCTGCTTAAATGATTCATCCTCCCTGTTTTGCTTCCCTATACTAAGTCCTGCAGGCTTTTTTGTTCTGGGGAGGAAATCTTAGCGTGTCCAAAAACACTGCCATTAACGAAGAGTTACGGAAGCTGGCAAGCTACAACTAAAGACTGATTTGATTATATGGTTATAAAGGCGGGGAAAGAATTTTATGTCATAACGTAGATTTTTGAAAGCCAATTCAATATGTTTTTTGAGAAATGATTCCTGGGCCGAGAACCCACGTGGCAAGCTTCAATATTTAACAGCTCACATGACACATGGGACACGAGCTCAGTGACACCAGCCCTACTGATTTCAGCTGATCAGCCCTTGATGCATGAAAGTCAGTCTGGCTCGTTTATAGGCCCTAAATAAAAGATATCTTGACTGTTTCTCAGACCTTCATTCATTTTGAAGCGCCGTCTTGACCACAAGAGGATTTACTTCTGAAAACAAGGCCCCTTAAATGCCTAAAGGATCTTTATCACATTTTATAACCCTGCAAGATAGCACACGTTATTTTTACAAAGCAACTGCAGATGTGTTAGAATTCCCGCAAACCTTTCTGGACCACTACAAAAGAAGTGTCATAAACCCGACCCCTCTAGGGTGACCCTCAATAGCTTTGGCTCATACAATACTGCCATGACTAATTTAGATCAAAAGGCATCCAGCAACCAGAATTTCATGTAGTTTACAGATCAAACAGCTATCAAATAAGTTGCATGCTTTATAGCATTGTAGATTCAATTAGTAATCCCAGCTCCGAGAGGATGCTCCAGATCACCAGGTCCGCCGCCCCTATGCATATAAGCAATTTAAAAAAGTGCCCTCTCTTGAACAGCGCTTTCCCTTTTAATAGATTTTAAAAACAAAGTGTCCATAGACTCCTCTCAACATCAAAAGAATAATTATCTTCATTTACCCTGTCGTATCCAAGAGACAAATGGGGTAGGATCTGCAGAGGCCATGCACTCCATCACCGCACTCTCTCCGACTACCACAGTGGTGTTTTCTGGAGCAGCAAATATAGCGACATCCCGCGTCACTGCTGGTTGGGAACCTAATACACACCGGGAGGGCGGGGGAGGAGAGAGAAGGATAAAACAATCTCTTTAAAGCAGTGTGGGCCACATTCCATTTATATTAAAAACCAACCATTTTTACCTTCATCTCAAACCATCACAGAAAACAGACTTTTCTTCCTCACGGTTTGTTTACCTCTTCTGCAGGTCACTCAACCAGTCTGGTCAATTTCACCTTTCTTTCTGGTTACTTTCACTTCCTGGTTTCCAGGTAAGAGTGCCATATGGCTGGGTTTGGAATGGACACAGGAGACTTCCGGGGATCGAGTTTCTATTTCAGGACAATGCTTCAAGGCTTGAATTGCAAGCCCAAAACCACATGCTGTGAGACCCAGGTTATGGCTACACTACAGAGTTTTTTTGGAAAAATGGCCATTTTTCCAAAAAAATGTCACTTATGTCCACACTGCAATTGCGTTCTTTTGAAACAAAATCGAAAGAACGGAGGGGTTTTTCCGACATTGGAAAGAAGAAGCCTTTTTGCAAAAGAGCTTTTTCAGAAAAAGGCGCGTGTGGAGGGGGAAGAGGGAGTTCTTTCGGAAGAAGAGGAAAGAGGAAAAAGCACAGGTGCCCTGGTGGCCACTCCGTCCATAGTAATCACAGCTGACATGCGAGAGAGCGCCCATTCAGCATCCATTCAGCGTGGACGCTATCTGTCGAAACGGCAAATCGCTTTTTCAATGCGCTTTTTCAGTGTGGACACTCTCTTTCCGAAGAAGCTTTTTCGGAAGATCTCTTCAGGAAAAGCTTCTTCCAAAAGAAGCCTGCAGTCTAGAAGTAGCCCCAGAGAGGTCAGAACTTGATCTGCCCCGATCCTTCAAATCAGATCCACGAGAGTGGAAGAGGATGCATGAATGGAACCCTACTGAAGTTCTGCTCTAGCCCCAGATCCCATTCACACAGTCCCAAGAGAAAGATCAAAATTGTATCCACATCTGTCCTTGCAAAAAATGAGCCATGGGTATCCGCATCCACATCCATGGATGCAGCTACCCTTGGTTATAAAGCAGATATCCACAAATTTGCAGGGTTCTAGATACAAATTTTGTATCCGCATCCGTATCCACAAAACGAGCCGCCGATATCGGCGTCCACATCCACGAGTGCAGATACACGTAGATAAAAAGGAGCTCTCCTCAAATTTGCAGGGCTCTAAAGATCAGGCACTTTGTGGTTCAGCACCTCTATAGTGAACCAAACCAGAAGCCCAGATCTGAATATGCCCAATCTTAGAGGAATTCCTATGCAACATCTGATCTGGAATCTACGTCTTAGGTGCATCTAATTTCTCATCACATTAAATTTGGGAACCAACCCGCATCGCCATTATTTTTGTCTTCAGGACAAAAAGTTCAATTTAATTACTTAAAATTGTGAAATCTCCAACTGACTCTAATTGACAGCATTCCTAACCAGCACAAAGGGCCAGAATTTTAAGGGGTTTTTAGCTCAAATGCTCTGTACACAAAATGAGGGACCAACAATTCCACAGGTGTTTAAGCTGGCAAAGTTTTGCACCGAACTGTGGTCAGAAAAGGCTTTTCTAAGGCTTCTCAGCAAGCGACCGACTAAAATACTAGAAATCCTTTGTTTGCATTCACCTGCTAACAGCTGAATCACGTCTTGAAGCAGAAAAGAGGCCCTCTTTTTTAATATGAAAATTTTAAAAATGACACTTGGAGAACCAGCTAGTAGGTTTTAAAGCGGCAACCGGTGGACCACGGGAGTTCTATGTGTGGCCCATGAGACCACACAGGGTGGTCACCGACTAAAATACTAGAAATCCTTTGTTTGCATTCACCTGCTAACAGCTGAATCACGTCTTGAAGCAGAAAAGAGGCCCTCTTTTTTAATATGAAAATTTTAAAAATGACACTTGGAGAACCAGCTAGTAGGTTTTAAAGCGGCAACCGGTGGACCACGGGAGTTCTATGTGTGGCCCATGAGACCACACAGGGTGGTCAGAT